CGTGTAGAGCGGTTTGGTCAGATAAAGGTGGACGGTGCCGTTCCGGGGCGCTTCTGGGCCTGTCCGCTTATCCTTGCACATCTGAACGTAGTAGTCGATCAGATGAACCACACTGTCAAACTGTTTAAGCTTGGACTTGACACATATGATAGAGTCCAACCTGAATTTCCCATCTTGGTATTCGATTCGCAGATTAGTTGGTCCGGCTGATGTTTTAACAGATATTGTTAGCAGGTAGTCCGAATGCGAGCTATCTCTAATCAAGAAAGTTCCTTCTGGTGCCTCTTTTAATTTCTCTTTGGCTTCATTAACAGTCATACTTCCCCAGTACCAACCTGGGGTTTTCGTTCAAGAAGAAAAAGAAGAGAGGGTAAGATAGTTATTATACAGAATTTTTTAAATAGGGCAAACACTTGGCAACGACTTTTCTAGCTCTAAAGAGAAGTGTGTGAAAGTTTACCAGACACTACCATAAATATTTTAGGTAGACAGACACTTAATGAAAATGTGGGTCCATTTTACGAACACAAACTGTGAGCCAATTTTTATGCTTTAAAAAAGTAACTTTCTGTAGCCCTTTAAACTGTCTTGAGATTTTTCTCCGAAGGACACAAAAGAATATTGGCGGTATGACACACTGTCCCACAAGCACAATGCTTCTAGCACTGTTCAAGTGAAATCAAAGTAAATTAGACATCGGAAGTTAGACATAAAAGTCACGCCCTTACAAAGGTGGAAAACCCAACTCCTGTGACTCCAACAGGGTAAAAACAGAAAGAACTTCTTGGAAGGTTCGTGTCCACCCCCTCCCTCCCCAAATCTGTTCATGGCAGAATCTCGGTTCGAAGACCTTGGAAAGCACTGCCATTTCCTTGTTTTTAAAGTGCGGTTCTACTACGACCGCATCTGTGCGTTGCTTTGGTTACAACTACCTTATCAGTCGCTGGGAAATGAGGGAAACCCCAACCGATAAGAAGTACTTCAAGTTTACAATCCGCACCTCCTTTGGACTTTGCCCTAATCCTGATCCCATCACAACCGTCCGTCTCCCCCAGCCTTCTCCATTTGATCTGCCTGCACCATCCCGGGGCCCATCCCGTTTTCAAAAACGACTTGGAGACATTCTGCATAAGAAGTCTGAACAAGGAGCTCTTGCACCCCACCCCCCACCCCCAAACTGCTCGGATACCTGCAACCGGCCGGTCCGCCCCGCCGAGAGAAAGCCGGTGGTCCACACTCCACCACCGAACCGCACGTGACTTTTCCCTCTCTCTAGTGCTACCAAAACTTCAATTTGGCCCCAAATGTAAGCTTTTAGGATCCAGATTTGGAAAGCTCGCGTGGCTTGCCAGATTTTTCTTTTGTTTTGTTTTCAATCTTCTCTTCTTTCTCACGCGGAGAGACGACCGCGGGCCACGCAAAGCGCAGGACTGCCCTTGAAACAAGCAATACTCCGGGCGCGCAGCCCCTCCAGGCCGCGCTCCTCCCGGCTCTGCCGCAGCCGCCCGCGCGGCAATCAGTCCTTGGAACTTGGCCGCCAAGGTCCCGGGCTGCAGCGGCGGCGCGGCTCGCGAGCCGGATGCAGCTGAAACCGCGGCAGCGGAGCACCCACCCGCCGCCCTGGTTCGCCGCGGGAACGGAGGCGCCTGGCTCGCTCTTCCGCTAGGGTTCCAGCCCGCGTACCGACCCGCTGAGCGGCTGCGAACAGTTGAAGGCTGCTGCTCCCTAAGAGGCTATTTCCAAGAAGCCCTTCTCGCGCTCTGCCCTCCTCCAGGCCTCTGAGTCCCCCGAGAACCACTTACTTTTCTTTCGCGTTCCCGAGGATCCAGGGCCGTGCGGACATCCTCTCCGCGGGCCCCCGCCCTGAGCGGGGACCAGAGGCGAGGGGCCGCAGGGCCACCCCATTCTTTGCTCCGCAGCGCGGCCCCGCTTCCAAGCCGCGCTCCCCGCCAGCAAAGCCCCCAACCCAGCCTCTTGGGGGCAGCGACCCCCCTCGCACGCGTCGCGGCTGCTCGGCTGCCTACCTGTTTGACTGAGCTCCCGCAGGGCCTTCGCCAGACGCGCCGCCTCCGGGGACGGCTCTTCCGCGGACCCCGCGGTCCCCCACTGGCTCTGCGTCCCTTCCGCGCCATTCCCGGAGGACTCGAGGCACCGCAGGGTCATGGGAGAGGGGTCACCGCGCCAAAGACAGGTGGCCGCCCGCGCTGGGATCAGAGAGGGGCACGCGTCCTTCCTGGAAGTCAGTGGGAACCCCGAAACGAGTCTCTGCGGGGTATCCGAAACGGTGGAGGGGGAGGGGATACGGAGCTTCTGGTTTTTCCTCCCCAGGTCCCAGTGGACGGATGGCAGAGTCCCCCGCAGGCGCGGTCACCCACAGTTTGCCTGCAAAAAAGAAAGTATGGGGTCGGGTCGGTCCAAACTGGACCCCTGCGTCTGGGATTGTGGGTGGGGAGCCAGAGGCGTGGAAAATCCCGGGGACTCCTCCGCGTCTGTGCCCCCGCACCATTTAACCCCAAGCATCCAGTGACTGCCCCGGCCCAGCTGTAGAGAAAGGAGGATAAAGAGAGAGCAGCGATCCAAGACGCCGGAGTTGCCGAGAGGGAGGGGGGAGGGACAGGATGAGGGTGGAGAACAGGGTGCCTTCCCGCCCAGGGCTACTAGCTGAAATCGCAGACTAGCAAAATCGAGTCACCTGCGGGTATGGTGGTAAATAGGCCCTAGTCAACGACAAGCAGGAAAATCGCAGAAGAAAGACCAGAAGAGATCCCCACATTGGCGCTCGGTCTAGCTCACACTCGGCACAGCCCGGGGGCTCCGGGACGAAGCACCCTCAGCCGCCAGCCCGGGGCGCCAAGGTGCGCGAGCTGCCTCCACCCCGCCCTGCGGCTGCCTCGCTCCCCTCCGTCCGCTCCCCAGCGCCCGCGTGGGGCAGAGACGGGGGGCGCCCGGGGCGCCGTGGCGGGGCGGCTGCGGCTGCTGCAGCCGCCGCGGGCGCTGTCGAGGAATCGGCCCAAGCGCGCAGCCCTCGCGGGGGCTCGGAGCCCGGCGCTGGGACCTGGGCGGGGGCAGAACGGGCGGCTTCGCGCGCCGCTGGACGTGCAAGACAACGAACGCCGAGCCCTTACCTCGGCCTCGGCCGCCGCCTCCACACCAGGCAGCCTCCCCAGCGGACATGGGGCGGGGGAGTCGGGAGGGGCCGGGGAGAGGAGGGGTGACTGCCCGAGTTTCCCCTGTTGACTTTTAATTTGGGAACGAGATGCCTGGGGATGCGCTCCGCGGCAGCCAGAGTTCTCTGCGCAGGGAGCCAACAGAAGCCCCGGGGATCTTCGCCTAGAACCCCCGGCTCTGAAATCCCCCACCCCGGGCAGCTGCTGGCTTTCCCTCCAGCTGCGACCAAGGAGGTGGGAAGAAGAGAGGGAGGAGGAAGGAGCTAGGGCGGGAGGCAGGCGGGTGGGGAGGAGCGGCAGATCAGGTTATTAGGCGGATTATTAATTTGGATGGCTGTTCGGGGCGAGGGAGGAAACTCCGGAGACTTCCCGACGCCTAGGAGCCGAAGAAAGCAGGCAGCAGCGCCCAGCCGCGGGGCAGAGCCGCAGCTCGGACACTCTCCCCGGCAGCTCTGAACTACGGAAGCCAAGGCCGCCCGGCGCTCCCGGCCGCGCCCTGTGCCCTCCCCGGCGACCCTCCATGGGGAGGAGCCTTCGGGCTCCCGGGACCAGTACCTGCCGCCAGCCCCCGGCCGAGCTCCTCCGGCGCCCGGGCTGCGGGCGCAGGGGATCCTGAGGCTGTGCGCACGGGGCCTGGGGCGCACTGTCCGCGGCCCGCGCAGCGCCGGTTGCGGCGGGCGAGGAGGCTCATGCTTCAAGTGAAGCCCAAGGCCCGCGAGCCGTGGTGGCTAGACACGGCAAGAGTTAAACGTCTGTGCCCGGAGCGGGGTGTGCGCGCGACTTCCCAGCCCCGCGCGCCTCCCTCGCTCCCCGCCTCCCTCCCTTGTCCGCGCACCCCGCGCGCCCCGCCCGGCTGCTGCGGAGGCCGCTTTCCAGGAACTTTCCAGGAATCCGTCTCACGTGACCGCGGCCCCCGCTTTTGCTTTAAAGAGGCTCCGGCGCTAATGCGCAGGCTCCAGGAGAGGCGGGCTCACTGAGCCCGGTGCGGGTCCGGGCGGCGTGGCTGCCTAGGAATCCGCCCGCCCCGACCGCACAGCTCCGGGTGCTCTGCGGAGCGCACAAGCCGCGCCGCCGCCGCCGCCGTCCCCGCTTCGGCGGCCGGGGCCTGCACCCCCCCCCGCCCCCCCGGGCCAGCTGTGCGCTGCGGTGTGAGGACTAAGCGGTATCCTCGCCCAGCGCTGGGCTCTGTCTTTCCCACCCGCTCCGCGCCTTCCCGACGCGACCCTCCCGGCCGCGCATTTTGTGAGCGGGATGCGGGAGAGACTGGGGACCCTCGAAAAGGGCCCCTCTCCCTCTATGGCACGTTAGCGGAGTGGGAGAGGCCCCGTTCCAGGCCCCCGCGCTCCCCACCGAGAGCCGGAGGAGCGGAGCGGAGGCGGTGCCCTTGCCCAGGTCCTAGAAGGCAGGCGGCAGGCGGAGAGCGGTGCCTCCTTAAGCAGCGCTAGCGGCTCTCAGTCTCCTCCCCCGGGCGCTCCTGCGCTCCGTCCCCTGCGGCGGCCTAGCCGGGCTCCTCCCCTCCTCCCCCCACCCCCTCGCCCTTCCCCACGCTGCTCCGCGGTCTCCTTCCGCTCGCAGCCCCGCTCACCTGCTCTGACCGCCGGAGGGGTGCCCTTACCTACGCGCCCGTGTGGTGCTGGACAGCCAGCCTCGGTGCCTGCAGTCCCGAGAGCTCCCGGCTCGGCGATTTCCCCCGCAGGGCTAGCGCCCGGGGACTGGAAATTCGGAAAGATCCCGTCACGCCCCTGCCGAGAGACCCTCACCTCCTCCCACCCGGTTGGAGGCCACCTGGCCTCCGTTGGGACTCAGCTCCTCGCCTGCATGCCCGCCTCCAAAGTGTGACCTACTTTTTAAAAACCATTAACACTCACGGGAAAACCGGATCCCAAATTTCGATAACCATTTTTCTTTGAAATACTATTCTATTGCATCACTGCTCAAAAGCTTGAAAGGTCAATGGCCACTTTCAGTTGAAGCAGGGGCTAAGGGGAAGTTGGGCGAGGAAGAGGGAGGAGGCGTGGGGGAGGCGCGGCTTACAAACCTTGCCTGGTGCCCCCCCCTGCTGGCCCTAGGAGGAAACGTAAACCAGCTTCCTGCCTTCCGGGCCAGGCAGGAGTCCGGAATGATTCTCTCCACAATTTTCCTGCTTTTGAGTAAGTAACTATGCAAATGATAGGCAGGTGCCAGGAAGGGGACAGGGGGCGGGGAGTGGGCATTTCCAGGCTAACAAATGGCTTTGTCAACAATAGAGTGGTGTGCATAGAATCATGTTTTTTAGAGTCTAACACGTGGAGGGCAGAGCTAATTCAACCCAAGTTCAAAAACTCTATATAGCTGAATAACTTGGCCCAGTCATTTACTTATCTTTGGGCCCTTGGCCTTTTCTATAAAATGTAGGGACTGGACTCCTGTGCTGCCTCAGGGACTGGGATGAATGAACAAATCAGGTTCATGTAGAGTTTGTGTGTCCCCTGAGGCCCAGAGGACCTTTAAGAACCGCTACACCTACTAAGGTTCACTGTGTCCTAAATTATTCCATTTGGCTTCTTATCCCTTTGCAGAGAATCCCAGACGAAGGACGTACCCACTGATCTGTAGTTTAAAAGATTTTCAATTTTTTACCAAGATAAATTTCTATTTGTCCGTTGAAATGAATCTGCCAGCAACCTTCCGTAATGTAACTTTCCTGTTGCCTCCTAGCACATGCTGTTCCCTCTTCCTGGGATGCCCTTCACCAGAACGGGTGTGTGGCCAGCTCTCATTCTTCAGCTCCCAGCTCAGTCACCTCCACAAGACACTGTCCACAGTGGCTTCCAGTAAGCACAATGCCAGCTGCAGAACACTAAATATTGTAGCAAAGTAAGACTTTCGACTTTTGTTTCTGAAATGTTTCCCAGAGATCCCAGCATTTTGTCAGCCTTTTTAAAGTCCCCAAGAAACGCATATGGGAGGGCCTCTTAGGAAAGTATTTATGGGATCATGTTAAGTGAGAAAAAAGTAGAATGTGAAACTGTATCTATGCTATGGTTACAACATTATAACATTATGTATGCCTGTGGGCAAAAACAGAAGGAAATGTGGAGAAATGAAAGCAGCTGTTTTTAGGGTAGCAGGATATGGGTGAATTTTTAAACCTGAGTTTCTTTAATACTGTTCCAGTATTTTTGATACGGTCATCGTTTTCCAAAGCTGCACGTGGGTCAGTGTCTTCGGTGATTTCAAGAGTGTAGGGTGTAGTTGGTAATACTTATGACTCTGGTCCTGATGGACCTTTCTCGAACCTCCAGAGCTGCCACTCACTACTGCATTTCAGATGTCTAGTGGGCACTCCCCAGGTTGGCGTATCCCAAACTGAGACCCGATAATTTCTTAAAACAACCCCGTTTAAGATAAAAACAAAAGCGGTTCCTCCCTCATTTTCTCCCATCTCTGAGAAATGTCATTTCTAGTCTTCTGCTGCTCTGGCTAAAAGCCTTCAAGTCCTCCTTGACTGCGCTCTCTCTCACACCCCACATCCCAGGTGTTGGCCAATCCTTTGACTCTGATTTCACAACAAACCCAGAAGTGAAGCCCTTGCCACATTTCCACCACACACCAGTCCAAGCCAGGCTTACAGTCTCTGCCTGGCTTACTGCTGCAGCCTCTTCCTGGTACCTTTGTCCCTGCGACACTCTTCCTGACAGAGCAGTGACACTGATCCTGTTTAAACCAAGTCATGGCCTCTCCCTCCTCGGCTCCAGTCCAAATGGCTGCATCACACCAGAGTGAAAGACAAAATCCGAGTGGTCACTCACAGCACCCTACACGGTCGGGTTCCATTTACCTCCCTGAGCTCATCCCCTCCTGTGCTGTCCCTCCACTCCAGGTACACTGGGCTCCTTGCTGCCTACTGCCCTCACTGCTTCCTCAGCACCTTCCCCTCACCCACCACGCTTCTCCTTCAGATATCTGCATGGTTTGCTCCCTTCCTTCCACGGACCTTCATTCAGTGCCGCCGTCTCAGGGAGACCTTGCCTGACCGCCCTAATCAGAATCGACCCACCTCCACACACATTTCTCTCTCTTCCCTGCTCTGGTTTTCTCCTTAACACTGATCACTGTCTAACCCAGTTGTATTTTATTCATTGGCCTGGCTTCCTGTCTCTCTCCTTCACTAGAATGTAAGTTTCATGAGGCTGTGCACTTGTATTTGCATTCTTTACAGCTGTATCTCAGCACCTCTGATAGTCCCTAGCACGTAGCAGGCATTCCCCGCAAGTGTTGAATGAGTCAGTGGATGGATGGGTGGTGCTTTAGCAGCGTAGCTTTACGGTTAAACTTCCCAGGCATGAATCCTCACTCTGCCGCCACTTGCCACATGGGTGATCGTTGGCAAAGTATTTATCCTCTTACAGAAATGATACTGGAACTTACCTTAGAGAGCGGCGGGGAGAACTAAATGAGATCATCCGTATCTCATATCTATATCCCTGTGTCTCTCTAAATCTATATCTCCCATCCATTCTGTTCAGTGGGGCAGGTGCATGGCTGCAATGCTGAAGTGTCGTTCTACTTGAGGGGAGAAGGGAGAAGTGTCGTTCTACTGCTTCTGTGGCCTGCACTGAGGAATGGCCAGGGCCTGAAAATCTCTATGCGCCAAAGTCAAACTGGATGTTCTTGGTTTGCAATGCAGATGCTCTAATACTGCCACACTGAGTTGTTTTTGTTGTTGTTTTGCCTGTTTGCAGAGAGTATTTTAATTTTTTTTTAGGGGTGGGGGAGCTATATGATAATTGTTGGCTTTTATGTCTGGAGTCCCTGTGGGCAGAAGGTACTTTTAATTGGCCACTATCCCTTCCTTTCAAACTTTGCCATCTCACCACCACCACCATCATCAGATACACACCACCTTCACGAATCCCTGTGATTCTGGAACCCACCTCTCTGGAGAGCATGTGACCCGGGTGAGTTAACAGAAATATCTCGTTTCCCTGGACAGCGGTTTCTCCAGTATCACAGCCCAAGCAGATTATTGTTTTAGGATTTGATGTACGTGCTGCAAGAGGAGCGATCCCCCCCGACTTTCCGAGATAATGAGCAGTGATGACCATGGGAGCCAAATCCTCTCCCACCTAGAAGGAGCCCATCAAAGAATAGAAGCAACAGAGAAGGCAGAGCTCAGGCTAGCATGGGAGGAAGAGGTCCCTGAGCTCTGAATCTAGTCTGCCTAAGGCTGTACCACCCTTGGACTCAGATGCAGAAGTCAACACATTGACATTTCCCTACCTAGTTTGATTTGGGTTCTGTAGCTTGTCATCAAAGACACTCTCGCGGGGCATAGGGAGTTGGATAGGAAAGAGTCCATGGGAGGGAGTGGAATAGAGAATTTAGAAGATACAGAGCAGAACTATCTTCTATATGATGAGCATCTCTTACTTCTCCCCCAGTGCTACTCAATCCCAATTCCTTTTACGAGGTCCTGCTTCTTCCATCCCCATGATGCAGACTACTCCTTGGTGTCCTGGCTGGCTTCAGTACTCTGAGATAGAGATTCCAGAATGGGGAAGCTGGGAAGATGGCTTTCCCCTAGACTTCTGGGACCCAGGAGCATGCGAGATGGCCATGCCCTTGGTCTTTCTACTCATAGAAGTTGAGAGGAGTCATATTCTAGGATAGTCATTGTGAATATAAAACCATAGGTCTCTCAGAAATTCTAGTAAAATCTATAGACCAGAGTTCCCAAACCACCTGCCAATGAGCCATTTTTGATCCCTCAGAGTGTCACCGTTGGTGTGCCAAGATTCCTTTTAAAAACATGTGAATTAAGTTAAAATTCTAGAGATTTCTCCCCAAAGTGATCCAGAATTCTGCTTTCTCTTAACCATCCCTAAACTCTTGTCAACACTGGATCCCATTCCCTAGGGGGCAGCGATCATCTGAAGCAGAGTGGTGATGGCCCCTGTGGAAGGCACATTCATTCGCCACAGTCCTCACCAGGCCCTACGGTCTCCAACACTGAGCGTGACTTGCCGTGTGTCATCACACCTGCAGTGTTTTTCTTATGGTGGAGAAATATTTCTGGACCCAAGTCTCTACCAGAAGCAGGGAAATAAAAGATCGAAAAGACTGGATATTTCAAGATAGCTGGGAGAGAACTTATTTCACTCTCCTAAGCAAATAAAGTATGGCTGGGTTCTCATACCTGACCTATTTCATCTTCTGTATTCCTACATGGCCCAGACATTTGTGGACAGGTTCCCTCCAAGACATTCTCTGCAGAAAAATCTTCTGGAAGCACAGATTTGGGGGATCTGTTGACAACCTGAAGCCCAACTTTGAATCTCAAGGGACCTCTTGACCTGAGGCGAGAATGCTATCCTGAGGCTGGAGAGCCTCCCTGGAAGTACTTCTCTAGAGATAAAAGTGTGCCTTCAGCACTGTATGGACCTCGCTCTATTGGAATGGGCTGTAGAGCCAGAGGACCATCAATCACAAGACTTCAGTGCTAAAAGGACATCATTTCACTGGTGCAGAATGACTTCCTTGTCTTCTTCTTCCTCACGATGTTCTAAACCTCTGGCCTCCTTGTTTCTCAAACACACGAGCCTGCCTGAAGGCCTTTGTACTTGCTCCTTCCCTGCTAGTCTCACGGCATCACTCCCTCGCTTTGCTTGGGTCTTTGCTCAGAGAGGCCTCCCCTTTCTTATCAATGACCATTCCTTTCTCCTGCTTTATTCTTCATCTCAGCAGCTACTGCTACCTGACATGATAATGGTTTTTATCTGTCATTTGTTTAATATCTCTCTCTCTCTCATCAAAATATAGCAGGGATTTTGTCTATTATAATCACTATTCTATCCTCCGTGCCTCAAGAAACTCCTGGCCTGTAGTAGATACGCAATATAAAGCTCTTGAATGAATGAATGAATGAATGAATTGAATGCATCTACAAGTAAGGAAACAAATGCTTTTAACCACCTTTCTGCCTGGATCCCTTGACTTCTCAGCTAGATGTGCTGCTCACTTTAATCTACGGCTTAGCCTTCAGACTCTGGTCTGCTACCAAGAAGAAATGGCCTGTTTTAGAATCTCTCCTTAATCTCCTGGAGCCTGATCTCACAACTATGGTACCTAGTAGACAGTCTGTGACTCACCCACCTAACAGAGGTTCATGAGAACTTAAATGCTCTAGGCCTTGCAGACAATATAATTCAGCCCACTCTTAAGGGGGGGTCTGTGAAGTGAGAGAGAGACACCACTGACGTTTCTAACAAAGGGTTAGAAGTCATGGAGAAACGCAGACTGGTTTTGCAAACAGCTGGAGAGCACCACTGCAACCACCTTGGGAAGTCCAGAAAGGCTTCATGGGAGAGGGGATCTTGATCAAGCCCCTTAACTTTTCTGGATTCTTGTTCTCTCAAAAGAAAAACATTTGGATCTGATGAGCAATTATGTTTCCTTCTCATTCAAATCACCTTCTGAGCCCTGTTCCACAACCTGCCAAAGAGCAACTGATGGTGGTGTTATACATAAGCCGGGGCAGCTTCTAGGTATGTTTGATTTTCCAGACAAGTTCACAAAGGTCAAGGCCTGGTGTGATGATGTGGTAAGCAGAGCAGTGAGAAGAAATACCTATTAGTAAATAACAAACTGCACTCCTGGCTTAGTCATGGAATTCTGAGAAGCAGCAGCACCCAGTGAACCAGCCTGGAGCTTGGCAATCGTGGAGGAGACTAACTTTAACCTAAGGCATGTGGCAGGGCTACTAAAGGCAAGCTCTGAACAGCACGCCACCTTGAGTCACAGGACAACCACATACATTCCACACTGGAAGGCCAGCTGATTATATCTACAGGCCTTTTCTGCTAACCTAGCACGTTAAAATTATAGTGGTCATGCCCTGATGTAACAGAAAGCAATATGATATCACCAGTTTGCCTGTATATAATGGCTTAAATCTCCCTTCACCAATGTACAGAGCGTATACCTGATTTTATTCTCATAGCACTTGGATGGTAGTAGGAATAAAATGCCTAGTTTATGTGTAAATAAATTAAGCCAAAGTAGATCGAGTAGGTTATTCTGTACTTGTAAACAAATTGTCCTTAGGAAAACAGTATATGAACAAAGAAAACATCTTTAAGTGGAAAAGTAGCTTGGAGGGTAAGTTGCTTTTTTTCCATTCTTTTTTCTTTTTTTTTTAATTTGAGAGAGAGACAGACAGACAGAACACTAGCAGGGGAGAGGGGCAGAAAAAGAGAATCCCAAGCAGGCTCTAAACCCAGCACAGAGCCTGAAGCGGGGCTCAGTCCCACAACCCTGGGATCATGACCTGGGCTGAAATCAAGAGTCGGCTGCTCAACTCACTGACTCACCCAGGAGCCTCAAGTAAGATGCTTTTTACATAGGTCATTAAAATCACTGAAAGTACCTATTCCAACAAATGTGGCTATAATATTTTCAAAGGTTATTTACAACATTTGAACAAAAGAAGGGATCAAAGTTGAGGGGGAAAGTTAGGCTCCTTTGTTTTGTTTTAAAATATTCCCAATGAAGAAATTATTACATTTCAGTATGTGCCAACAATTCTAAAATAAACATAAAAGTAAAGTCTTATTTCTTATAAAACACATTTTAAAAATCTATTTAGAAATAACTCTGTGAACATCATGCTGGTAAATCCTGCCATTTTTCCCTTTGGCTTTTCCAGTGTTTTTGAGGAAATTTTAATTTCAAGTTCTCCCTTTCTCCCCCCCCCCCTTTTATTCCTTCCCTCTTTTATTTTTAAATGTTTATTTATTTAGTTTGAGGGAGAGAGAAAGAGCACACACGGGAGGGGCGGAGAGAGAGAGAGAGTCCCAAGCAGACTCCATGCTCTCAGTGCAGAGTCGGATGTGGGGCTTGAACTTATGACCTGAGTTGAAATCAAGAGTTGGGCACTTAACCCATTGAGCCACCCAGGTGCCCCACCCCTCCCATTTTTAACACCAATACTTAAAAGAGGCAAAGTTGCCTGACAAAGTCATCAGGCAAATCCTTATCTTTCACCACATAGTATTTTTAGCCCAAAGTCTGTCATGCCTTCTGTTTTGCCAGGATCACCTGGTTTCCCCCACCACATGCTCATTGTCTACCAGATTAATTATATTGTAATCTGTTGATTCCAGCCATTAAATGGACAAAAATAAAGATGGCATAATAAAGATAGCATAGTAAATAAAGATGGTATGAATAAATACATATCACTGATAGCAACTGGGAAATCAGAAAACAGTTATAATATGACAATGTCTCACACAAAGATGACCACTACAAAGGAATAAAACACCAAACACCAAATCTTACCCAAAAGAAATGGATAATCTGTATAGCCCTATTTTTATAAAGAAATAGATTCCAGATTGAGAAAGCTTCACTGGTGAATGTTGCCAAACACTTAAGAAATAACATCCATTCTTCACTAAATTTTCCCAGAAAAATAGAAGTGGGAACATTTCACAGTTTATTCCAGGAGGCCAGAATGTTCTAGATACCAAAACAAAAACAAAACAGGTAAGACAGAAAAAACTATAGACCAATATCTCTCAAAAGCACAATCACAAAATACTGGCAAATTGAATCCAGAAATATATAAAGAGGATA